CCAAGGATGGTTGGTAGAGGACTACTGAGTCAGTGGGTAAGTGTCACATTTGGGGTACTGGTCTTATACAGCGAATAGAGCTCAAAAACTACTTTTTAAATGGAAATTTGGGGGGCCGTCTTATGCACCCCGACGCCTTATAGGCCGAGATATACGGTAAGCGCTGTTCACCACTATTCAACACTGATTCCATTCCTTTCCCAAATGAAATAGTAACTTCTGGCGAAAACTTGTTGATATTCCGGCAATTGGGGTTGCAATTTCAAATTCTGTGTCATTACTAAGGATTAACGAAGTCTCTGGTGTACTCTAAGATTGAGAGAAAATGGAGGACTCAGGCATCCTCAAGCGAGAGAAAACAGACTCCTATGATGGGGGACACAAGCACACAACCATGCCACTCATACTGACAGCCTTGACACTCACTTACTTGACAAGTTTTAACAACCATTTGTTGTGTACGTTATCTAGTGAATTTAGTCAATATTGTACAGTACAAGTACACTGCAATACAGTGGTCCCTCAGTTAACAATGGACCTAAGTGCAAACCTGTACTGTACATGTGCTGAATGATTATGGTACTAAAATTGTTATGTCTTTTGCAAATATAGCTTGTTTATACAGGTATTCAAATAAATCACTATCTTACAAGAATCCCAGCAATGTAAGTTATATTCACCCAGGTCGTTTGGGTGGCAAATTTTGAGAAGAGCTTAGTCACTCTTAAGTAATGATGAATAAACACGCGGGCAGGCCTTCAGCGCCAACTGTGAAATTATATCGCCTCACCTCCTGCTCCCGCCCCCCTCCCCACACAAGGGAGCGTGGGGGGTTTTAGGCCTTAAGTTTTTCATATAATATCTCAGACTATAGGAGAATATAATTTGCATTGCTGAAACCCTTGCAAGACAGAGATTAATTTGAATATAAATGTCATATATTTTGATCAAGAGATAAAAATTGTAGTACATTAGTGTACATTTTATAATATAATGTTTTTCAACTGTATTTTTGGGTAGATTTACATAAATTTCTTCATTTATTTTCATCCATTTACATGCACACATCATACTAAAAGAAACGTAAAAGAAATATATGACCTTAGAGCAAAGCTGGAGTGCACATGTACTAATTTGATGACGGTACTAAAATTGTTGTCAAGTGCAAATTATAGCTTGTTTATATTTAAAATAGTCACCATCTTACAAGAATCCCAGCAATGTAAATTATATTCACCCAGGTCATTTCACTGGCTTTTTATAAGAGAGAAGCTTAGTCACTTAAGAATTGATAAATAAATACGCGTTAGACCTTGGGCCGGTGCCAACTGTCCAACGTACCACCTCACCTCCCTCTCCACTCCCCCTCACGCTCGCTTGCTCCCTCTCCCCCATCTGCTCGGCATTGCTGGAATCCTTGTAAGACAGTGAATAATTTTAATATAAACGTCATGTATTTTGCAGAAGAGATAAAAGTTAATCACCTGTATCACATTACAGTAGTGATTTAAGAGTAAGAGTGTATATGTACATATATAGTATTCCACATACACATAAGTATAAAGACAAAGTTTATGTGATGATCGGACAACGTCCTTTTTGGGTAACGTCACGTTTCTAAGAACGTATCTAGGACGTTAACCGGCGCATGACTGTAGTTTAGACTCGAGGACAACATCTCCAGCACCCAGAAACGTTCTGGGGAAGTGGGCTAGTGTGCGTCTGTGCAAGAGGTCTAGTTTAGACACTCAGAAACTTTTCCCAGTACAGTATTACCCCGCTTTACGCGGTTTCACTTTACGCGATTTCTCATATACGCGGTGCCTCGCCAGAACCAAACTTTCACTTTCCGCGGTTCATCTACCCATATACGCGTGAAGTATAATTTTTTTTTTTTTTTTAGCTCATAAAATTCATACACATTACCGGGCCAGAATATAATTTACATTGCTGGAATTCTTACAATTTGATGATCATTTTGAATATAAACATCATAGATTTTGCATTAGACATACAAATTTTAGATCTAATGTTTACTCTGAGTAAATATGTTATCTTTTGTGCAAAATATATGACATTTATATTCAAGATATTCCTGGTCTTACAAGGAATCCAGCAATGTCAATTATATTATCGTAACTTTAGTTTGAGGTATTATTTATTACTATACCTGGTTTTCCCCCCAAAATTTCTCAGAGAGGGAAGAGCCAGCGAGTGTAGTGTGAGAAGAGGGGGAGGGAGTTGAGTCCATTATTTGAATGGACATTAACTTGGCGACTGTATTTCTCTATTTCTCTTAAGTATTAATTGTGTGCATGTACCATCATAAAATTAAGATGTTATTTTTACTAGAACATAGGTATTGTGTTGGAAAAAAGTGGAGTTTGGGGGTCAGCTGGTCTCTATTTCATTTAATCCCATATGTTATGTTATTCACTTTACGCATTTCTCACTTTCCGCGGTACCCTGTGGGTTACATTAACCGCGTAAAGTGAGAGTTAACTAATATATATATATATATATATATATATATATATATATATATATATATATATATATATATATATATATATATATATATATATATATATATATATATATATATATATATATATATATATACATATATATATATACATATGATTGTACCCCACTGTAGCAGTCAATTGAACCCAGAAGTGCAGAGTAAGCCCGCGATTAGTGAATAACAGGCTATATGGATGAGCCAATGGGAACAGCTAAAGTTAGGATAATATAATTGACATTGCTGGATTCCTTGTAAGACCAGGAATATTTTGAATATAAATGTCATATATTTTTCACAAAAGATAACATATTTACTCAGAATAAACTTTACATCTAAAATTTGTATGTCTAATGCAAAATCTATGATGTTTATATTCAAAATGATCAGCAAATTGTAAGAATTCCAGCAATGTAAATTATATTCTGGCCGGATAATTTGTATGAATTTTATGAGCTAAAACAAATATCTTCAGTTAATAAAAAAAAAAAATATTCTTCGACACTATCTGTCAATCAAAGTACCCCACCTTGCCTTCCCCCCCTCTTCCAACCGCGTGGTCAGTCCCAACCCTCCCCCCACCCCCCACCAATCCTCCATTCAAGAGTTTTTAACATTTAGTATTAAATAATACCTCAGATTAAAGTTAGGATAATATAATTGACATTGCTGGATTCCTTGTAAGACCAGGAATATTTTGAATATAAATGTCATATATTTTGGACAAAAGATAACATAATTACCTTGAGAACAATTTTTATCTAAAAATTGTATGTTTAATGCAAAATATATGTTGTTTATATTCAAAATGATCACCAAATTATAAGAATTCCAGCAATGTAAATTATATTCTGACCGGGTAATTTGTATGAATTTTATGAGCTAAAACAAATATCTTCAGTTAATAAAAAAAAAAATAATTCTTCATGGGGTAACAGATGGTCGGTCGGTCGGTCCCTCCCTCCCCCCCACCCCCCACCAACCGTCCCAAGGAGATGTGTGGGATAACCACTAAATTTTAATAAATAATACCTCAAACTAAAGTTAGGATAATATAATTGACATTGCTGGATTCCTTGTAAGACCAGGAATATTTTGAATATAAATGTCATATATTTTGGACAAAAGATAACATAATTACCTAGAGAACAATTTTTATCTAAAAATTGTATGTTAAATGCAAAATATATGTTGTTTATATTCAAAATGATCACCAAATTATAAGAATTCCAGCAATGTAAATTATATTCTGGCTGGGTAATTTGTATGAATTTTATGAGCTAAAACAGGCAGTCAGGCAGGGTGGCGGGTGGGGGGTGGTGCGAATCTAAAAATAGCTCTGAGCCGGACACTCACTGCGTATATGATGAAAAATGCCACGTTAAGTGAAAGTTCAGCTTTGGCAAGGCACCGCGTATATGCGAAAACGCGTTAAGTGAAAGCGCGTTAAGCGGGGTAATACTGTATCTTATAAGAATTCCTGCAATGTTAATTGTATTCTCCCAGGTCATTTCACTGGCATTTTAAATTGAGAGAAGCTTAGTAGGACTGTTAAATAAACACACAGGAGACCTTCGGCTCAAACTGTCAAACATATCACATCACCCACCCCCCCATCGCTCCCTCCCTCCCTCCCTCCCTCCCAGCCAGGGTTTTAGGCCTACAGTTTTTATCTTATATGATATCTCAAACTAAAGTTAGGAGAATATAATTTGCATTGCTGGAATCCTTGCAAGACAGCAAATAATTTGAATATAAATGTCATATATTTTGCACAAGAGATAAAAATTAATCACCTGTATCACATTACAGTAGTGATTTAAGAGTAAGAGTGTATGTGTACGTATATATTGTGTATATATAGTGATTTAAGGGCGATTTAGGGGAATTTTAGGAGGGTTTCTGACTTTGTGCATTTTTGTCTTTACTTTAATGTGAGCTGGAACCAATTACCCAGTATCCCATTGAAACAATGGTTTCGGTTAACGAACGACCATCTGCAATGAATTGAGTTCGTTAATTGAGGCGCCATGTATTGATATTGAAATAGCCTGGTGTTCCCGAGTCTAGTGTTCATTGGTGCTTTAGTTAGTAAGAAAATGAACTCGTTAGTCAAGTTTAGTCACTTTTATTGGCCTCCAGAACCTAACCCTATTTTCCCCATTGATTACTTGTAATTATGTATCGTGATTTAGTATACAGTATAGCGAACATCCTTGAACCCTATCTCGCGATATATCCCGATCCTACTGGACAAAATGTTCCTCCATAGTTATCCTTTTCTTACAGAGTGTGAGAGAAAATCTGTATTTCTTCTCTTTCTTTCATGGTAAACCTTTGGTGTCTAAACCAAAGGCCCTTATCTCTATTGTCAAGCCACTTTGTTTTGGGATTTCCCATAAAATTGGATTTCTGAGTCAATCCCTCATTTACTTTAACTTTTAACTAACATGTGGATTTCTTTTGCCCTTATCAGTTGGTTTACCACAAACTAGTGAAGCCACGCAATAGGATCATCAATTACTTGACTCAGTACTCAGGCATAACTCAACAGATGTTAGCCAATGTCACCACAACTTTACAAGATGTTCAGCAAGACTTAAAGAAACTCTTGCCACCTGATGCCATTCTAGTGGGTCACTCCTTGAATGGAGATCTCAGAGCTATTAAGGTTAGTGCCAGTGTAGCTGTAATTTACGAGTTACTTGCATTTTAAATTATCTCCACAGTAATGCCTTTATTCATGTGTTGGTGCTCTCCCAGAAACAAGGTGTTAGACTAACTGATGTAAATCAATACTGTATGTATTAATATTATGAGTGGGAGATGAGACCAGTTAGATCAAGAGATGCAAATGTTTTAATGTAGAAGGGAGGAGAGCTAGGGATAAGCCAAGAATGACCTGCGAGAGATAAGAAACTGATAAGAGAAGCTGCTAGAGACCATGCAACCTGGAGAGCTGTCATCAGGATATGACAGCCAACCCACATAAGTGTGGAAAATGGCCTTAAAATGGTTATGATAATGATTTTTGGCTTTTATAATGTCAGAAGACAAGTACAGCATGCCCTTAAAATTCGCGGAGGTTAGATTCTGAAAATGGCGGGGAATAGCCAAATCCAAAAATAACATTGCTGACCGAGGTGGGGGGGGGGGTACATTTTTAATCGTGTGCAAAGAAATGTAAATTCCCTTTTTGTGTTTGCCCTCAGGACAATTATTTCTTTTACCTGTATTGTATATATGGTTGTGTGTAGATATGCGCACACACACACACACACACATACACATACACATACACATACACACACACACACACAATACAGGTAAAAGAAATAACTGTCTCTAGAACGAATGGCTCCCTTTCCCGGCCACGAAAATGCCAGCAACTTTAAAACTACCCTGAGACATTCTTGGGTACATCCAGGGTGTCATCCGCGAATAAACATGGTCCGCGAATTGTCAGGACATGCTGTAGTTCATTATTGTCTAAGTTTATTGTGTTGTGGGTATTTCAGGAGTCCAGCAGTTGGGGACAGGTATTGACTAAATGAACCAAATGCATGAGAAAATTCTGCCAGTGATTAACTTGAAGTGTGGTGAGAGACCTACCTGCTGTGGATACAATTTTTCTTCAAATACCTTAATTTATTCTTATCAAATTTTTTTAAATATGCTGTGAGTGTGAATATGAGAATTATATCTAATTTACAGATGATGCATCCATATGTGATAGATTCCTCTCTGGCATACAACTTGACATATATACGGAAGAAACGATCGTCTTTAAAAGTATTATCAAAACTATTTCTGGGAGAAGTCATCCAGGATAGCACGTGTGGTCATGACCCAACAGAGGACGCTGGAGCTTCGCTTAAGCTCATCCAGCTAAAATTAAAACATGGTAAATATTAAATTTCACCTTTATTTCAGTTAACCTTCTTATTTTGAAATCCATCCTTTCATGATTTATTAAAAAAAATACTTGAACATGCAAGCTCTCCCATTGGCATTTCATTAAATACAGTAAACCCCCTCTAATGCGGACTACAGTAATATTTCCATTAACTGGAATCCCTCAAACCTGGAACTTTCCAATAGCCAGAATTGAAATTTACTTGGGAGTTTTTCTGAAAAATTCTGGGTTTGGGAGCAAAATCCAAGGTTGAAAATCAGGAACATTTTCTGAAAAAAAAACTGTCCAAATGTTTATTTCTGAGTCTGGGAGCAAATTTCGATTATGAGATACTGCACAATTACTGGAAGATGTAAGAAAATGGTGATAAAATCACTCCAAACCTTTCTGCCCAGGGCCTGGGACAAGGGTTCCCGGCATTTTGAAATATTGCATCGTGTACAGCCACATCCTCACTTGGTTGGTGCATGGGTGGGAAGACCAACTGCTGGGTAATGCTGGATTTTTCTGCTCGTGGTCTATTTATAATTACTGTGCAAATATAAATATTTCTTTACATTTACATACAATACTAAAAATGTATAATAATAAGGTAATAAATCAATATAATTCTTAGCTGAGCTAACGAAGCAAAGGGCGAGGTGACATGCCAAGACACTTACACAGCACACATTAACAGCACTACTAAACCATTGTCTTATAACATTTTACTTTGTAATTTCTATATTAAAATTAATTGATACATGATGGCTCAACAGGGCTACTTTTGCACTTAGACAACTAATCAATGAATAAACCAGGGCATATGGAGACTCATTATACACTAGTGATGAAATGAAGCTTCGCATTTTCAACCACAACAGTTGAGCAACTGCATAAATTATCACAACCTTTACCCACATGTAGTGATATTCCCGTTAGCCGGAACAATTGGTGCAGAGCACTTCCGGGGATGAGAGATTTCTGGGTAACTAGATAACTTTTCAAACCTGGAAAAATTCCTTATCCCCGGAATCGTTTCCGGTCACTGGGAAAAGTTTCCGAGTGTCTAAACTAGACATCTTGCACAGACGGACACTAGCCCACATCCCCAGAACATTTCTGGGTGCTGGGGATGTTTTCCTTGAGTTTAAACTACCACAGTCTGTAAATGCAGTTCTAATGTAGTTAGAACCTTCATTTCTTTACTATAATAATCCGGAATAGTTTATCTAAAAGTTTGTTTAAATAAATAGAATAAAAACTAAAAAATCTGTAGGATATGGGCATGAATGAAGCTGTGAGTTACAGCAAAGACTTATTTTACACTCCCATGGAGCTGTGCGGAATTAGTGGGTCTCATGTAACTTACATGACCTGACCCAATGTCAGGTGGAGGTAGGGTGGGGAATTAGTGGTCTCATATTACTGACCTTCTGATGGGATGTCAGGTCACCCTTTCTTGGGTGGAGGATTAGTGGGTCTCATGACCTGAAGACATCTTGAATAAACACAAAATCTAAAGTATTTTTAGGGAGATTGTGATAAGTATAAGTATAAATGAGCAAAGTTGTATCCCTTCAACATTACATTATATAAAATTTTAAAAATGGAGTGAGAAAGCAGAAAGGTGTGGGTGATTAGAGAGATGGTGTGGAAATGAGTGTTGTTAAGTGCTCCTCAACAGCTGATATTTAACTCGCTACCACGCAGTCACACACACGTAGAATTATCACACAATAAGACCCTCACTCTTCATGCTTGCTGTCTTAATTCCATTGTTGAGTTTATTTTAAGGATTTGTAGGAATATTGCCAACGCAGACCTTAAGCTAAAAGGCTTGTCCGCCCTTGTGTGTGTGTGTGAATAGTTTTGGGGGGGTGAGGATCGCACGGTCAAGTCCCCTCCTTCCCCCCAACTTACTCACTCAAACATGGCTAATTGTGATAGGGAGATGAGTTTGATACCATAACGATCCTTAATAAATTCTCTATGAGACGTTTTTAGTTATATATCCTATATGATATGGACGTGAATAGAGCTGTGTTACAATTTGTAGGAGCTGTAGTATTTATGCAAACACCACTGTACAATATTGTTCATACTGTAAACTTAATAATGTATACTACTGTATATATTGTACTCACCAGCAGATCCTGTCACCTTTAGCTTAAAGTAGGCAGACACTTTACTCAATTGACTGTAATACGTAACTTGTGATTGAGGTCGGGTGGGAGATTATTGGGTCATGTTACTAACCTGACCTGATGCAATGTCAGGTCACCCATTGGTGGATGAAGAATTAGTGGGTATTATGACCTGAAGATGTCTTGAATGACATTATTTTTTACCTATGATTTATATACATAGTACTATACTCTTTTGTATATGAAGGGTACAGGCATTAATAAGCACAGATTATTACAGTAATGTATCTGTACTAATTAATAAAAACAAATAAACATTATTGTATCATGAATGAGGCAGTACAGTACTGTAGTTGGTGACCCTTCCCCTCTCCCTTCCTCACAGCATTCTATGAGACGTTTCCATTGTGATATACTTAAATGAGAAGTTGAAGGTGGTTTTAGGCTTAAAGTTTTTCTTTTATAAAATGTCACAGATTTGACTTACCAGAATATAACTTGCATTGCTGGAATCCTTGCAAGATAGCGATTAATTTGACTTTAGACATCTCACAGTTTGCACAAAAGAAATTTTGTTTAGTCCTCTAGCTTAGTATTGTATGTTTGAGTACAGAGTGAGTACAGTAATGTGTTGCTCAAAATTATGGCCCAGTGGTCAGGATATTATGGCATTGAATGTTACAGAGTATTTCAAATGAATTCTTTGTTTAGTTCTGTACAGAAACTGGCCTTGGGGGAGGGATGGAGACTGCTCACCCCCCAAAAAGGTTCATCTGCCTCTATCATTGTTACAGGACAAAAGATTGTATATTTGTTATTTATTAATTAGTAAAGATATGTTACTGTAATAATTTGAGCTTATTAATACCAGTACCCTTCATGTACAGTAAAATGCTTATCTTTACCTTATTATTTGGATTGTCATTTAACCCGTAAAAGGTCACATTATTATACTTACAGTAAGTCCCCATTAACCCTTAAGCCCCGGGTTAGGGTGTTGCTGGCAGTACCCTCCACGCCGGGAAAAATCAAGAAAAAAATAAATAAATAAAAATAAATAAAAAATAAAAAAATGGCTGGAAAATAGGCGGACGTTCTGGAATGTCACCCGGGGCCTAAGGGTTAAACGACAGGATTAGGTTCCACTAAAACGCTTTCGTTAGGTGGATTACGTTAATTGAAACCATTTTTCCCATATAAATTAATATAATAAAGGGGATGTGTTCCTGTACTAAGCTCTGTGACTAAATAATTGCAACACATCAAAATATTGAAGATAAAAATAATAAAACATAAAGGTACATAAACAGAGTTATCAATTGTTGTTTGTAGGAATATTAATTCATTCACTCTAGTAATGATACAATGTTTTTTATTATGTTGTCGTAGTAAAATGTATGATTTATATAATTTGTTTATCACTGAGACTGTCACCATTTTCAAATTAGACTACATACAAGATATGTATTTCTCCCGTATGTCCACCTGGCTATGCCTGGCAACGGGAGTGGGTAAGGGGATTGAATGACCCCTAGTTCAGTGTCGTCTGCCGTTGTAACTCTCCTCACTCCTCCTCAGCAAGTTTGCGGAACACAGCCTCACTATCACCAACACCAACACCTTGTTTAGGCTGGCCGACAAACTCGTGGGATCTTGGCAGCACCCACAATCCAAGCATTAGCATCTCATTGACTATATCATTGTCAGAGAAAGAGATCACTGAGATGTCTTCCTCACCCAAGTCATGTGTGGCTCAGAACCACTGTGACACAGACCTCGCTGATGGTTCACTAGTCTCGCTGGTATTGTCTAGTGCTAAATTCACTGGCTTATACTGGCTTAAACACTGTTTATCATTGTTCAACACTGATCCTGGTGAGGAGGAGGGGTTGAGGGAAGGGCCATGGGTAATGGGTCAACAAAGGCTAGGGCAACTGCTGCAACAGGAGCAGTGCCTGAGAGGTCTTGAACCTCTGGTGGTCAAGGATGTAAACATCGGCTTTAACTGACTGGCAGAGCAACCCTCAGTCTCAAACCAAAGCTGATACCTTCCACAAGAAGAAAGCAGTGGCCCAGCACGAAATTCACGATCTAAAAAAACAAATGGTGGAAAAATGAAGCATATGAATCGGAAAAAATTGCAGATCAACACAAATTTGTCATTTCCACTAAAACATTGTATGGGCCAGTTACTCATGGAGCTGCCCCTCTCCGCTCATCCAATGGTAACTCCCTAATTAAAGAATTTCGTGCTGGACATTCACTTCTCAACCAAAACAACGATGTGAATATCCTGACTACCTAGTAGGTCCCTCAGCACCTTGAGCTGACCCACCTCAGCTATCCTCCATCCATGGATGAGGTAACTACTGCCATCAAGCAGATGAAAAATAATAGAGCCACAGGGCCTGATGGAATCCCAGCATAGCTTATAAAGCAAGAGGACTTCTTGCTTTATAAGCCTATGGTGACAGTCTCAGTGATAAACAAATTATATAAATCATACATTTTACTACGACAACATAATAAAAAACATTGTATCATTACTAGAGTGAATGAATTAATATTCCTACAAACAACAATTGACAACTCTGTTTATGTACCTTTATGTTTTATTATTTTTATCTTCAATATTTTGATGTGTTGCAATTATTTAGTCACAGAGCTTAGTACAGGAACACATCCCCTTTATTATATTAATTTATATGGGAAAAATTGTTTCAATTAACGTAACAATTAATCAGCTGGTCTCTGGAATACGTAAACAAACAAGATGGCCAAAGCTGAATGTGACTTGTTAAATAGCTGCTGGTCTTTCTTTATCTCATAGATTAGTCAATTTTATGTATTATTTATCATATC